CAAGGAGTCTTTGTGACGCTGCATTTGAAGTGATAGGCTGTTAACTAAAAGGTTGGTAGTTCAAACTCACTAGGTGCTCCAGTCTCATATTGAGAAGTTCATCTCCCATGGTAGAGTATAAATTGAGCCTTGTTAGAAAATAATCTGTTTAAACGCTAAGTAATAAAATAGCTTTTGTAAATAGCTTAATCTTAGATTTTTAAAAATTTATTTTATTTTATTTTTCTTTAAAGCTTAAAGGTAGCTTTATTAAGGGAGCTCCCAGGCAAGGTACCTTGGTCTGGAGAGAGAGACCAGGGAACCTGCCAAACTTAGAATTATTTTATAAATATGTATAGAAATAATGTACTTTGATTACTAACTTTAAACAATTCCTTAATTCATGAGTGAAACTAGTATTGATAGATGCCCAAAACCACACCTTGTAGAATAATTAGAGTAAAGCATGCTTTGTTAGAAAGATGAGGTGAAACTTTGTCATAGTCTTCTATTTGGCTTGGTGTAATTGGAGTTCTAATGTTTCTTAAATTCATGAATGAATAAAAGGAATTACACAATAATAATACTTGTAAAGTATTTAGCTGAAATACATCTTAATAAATGATAGTTGTATTATTTTTGTGAGTGAGTGAAGATATGTTTCAGTTATAACTAAAATGACACAAATATTCTCATAAAAAAATATTTTTAACCTGGAAAAATAACCAATTGTCATGTAGTGTTTCTTTCAAAAGCTAACTTTTGGTTTTGGAAGTTACTTTTTGATAGCACTTTGTATTTAGTACAAAATTTAAGGCCTATCGATTAATAAGACATTACACATAAATCAATATAGAAATTGATTTAGGAACACAAATCATAGTCTATCAGTTATGCAAAAGAAAATAAACCCCTTAAGTTTCAGTTATGTGTCAAACACCATACTCAAGAAATGAGTTGCTAAAGAATTATGGGACATCGTTTCTGACTTTAGGAACTTACTGTGTGATTGGAAAAACAATACATATATGTTTGGAAGTTGAGGAAAAGTACAAGTTACTGTTTTACCTACCTTGTTTTTCTTTAATTTCATGTGATAAAGTTCTTTTTGGTCTCTTACACTTTCTATTTTATATTAAATATACCCTCTTTGTATGCTTTAAGAGGTCAGCTCATAGTCTCATTTTTATAAGCTTCCCTGATTTGCTGATTAATAAAACAATTTTCTAACTCATTCTTTATTTTTCTCCTCCTAAGAATATTTAATCACCATGCTGAGTTGTAAAGTGTATCTAGGTGTGGGAATTGCTTTTGTGTGCATGGTGTGGAAAGATTGGGGAACATAATGAAACTCTAGAAGTTGACATTGTAGTATCTTATGCTATTTGAACTTCTAATTATAGCAGTGTGAGAGAGGAATAGTGGCCAATATTCACAGTCTTAGATTTTGAGATTCTATCTTCATTTAAAAGAGATACACAGCAGGACAAGTATGGGGATAAATAGAAAATATTAGACAGAAGAAACGTTTTCTAAAAATCTTTGGTTGCTGATATTTTGGAACAATTTTGACTACTCTGGGATGGGGATGTATTTTTGTAACAGTTTACTTCTGCAAATGGAAATAATGCAGTAGGCATCCTTACATGTGTCTCTTGTGTGTTTTTTTTTGGTTTGTTTGTTTTTTTGTGTTTTTCTTTAAAAGAAGATGTAATTTTGCTGTTATTTGGGTGAGTGTCCTAGCATTTTATTGAGATAAAAGGAGCCATTTCGTAAAGAGTCTGTCACTTAGTATAGTCATTTACTTGCATGTCTTAGAGTTTACAGATTTTTAGGAACCCATTAATTTTTATTTCCCCTGACCTTCAGATATAGTGTCTGAGAGTGACTATTTTAAAATTTATTCTCTAGTCACTTAAAAAAATTATCCCTGAATATCTAAAGACTAAAAGAAAAAAATATCAATGAAAGACAGATTTTATCATTTGTTAATAGGTTCCTCTGACCAGGAGAAAGACTTAGATAGAGTAATAAATTATTTTATTCATGTAATTGTCTCAAGAGCCTTATAATGAAAGGATTTCAGAGAGTCTATGAAATATTAATGTGCTAATTGGATTAGAGGATATTATCACCTGCTGTCATTGCTTTCAATAAATCCTTTCTCTAGTTTTCTAGTTTTGAAAGTTGCTAATATAGGTAAAAATAATTTTCTTTTGTTGTTCTATGACTTATCTTTTTGAAACTCTGTTCTTCTGTTGCCTTCAGGCTTTTACATCTTCCAATACGATTTCCCAACTCATTAAAGTAGAAATGTCAATGAAGATAGCTTCTAAGGAAATCTTCTTTAATAATACAAAGAAAAATGGTCTGCTTTTTTTCTTAGTTTCTTTCTTCTGTTTCCCAAACCACCCATTGAAAACCACCTTTTTAGGGAGTCGGGCTCAAATTATGAGTGGTGTAATTAATTCAGACCCCTGTAAAATTAAAAAAAAAAAACACCCCAAAACAAACCACCCACAAAAAAACCAAGCATATGCCTAATGTAAAATCACCCATGATTTAGAATTTTCACAATTATGGAATGAAAGATAAGATTTAAGGTATGTAACTAAAGCTACTCTGGTAAGAAAATTGTTCCAAAATCAATATGCAAACTGTTGCTTTTGTTAATACAGCTAATAGCACATTTTAAGATGAGCAGATCTACTACTAGTTATCAATGCTAAATTCACCCCTTTTAAAAATTAAAAACTGAACTACAAAGTGCAGAGTATATCTGTATTTAATAGCATTCCATTTTATTTGAAAAATATTTTTATATTATGCTTATTTATTATGTATATATAAATCTATCTATCTATATTTATACAATAAATTGTGGTAGGGAATTGACCTGTTTTAGTTATGTCTATGTTATTTGAATGTTTGGCTAAGAAATAATTCCAAAGTTTTTTTAGAATTAAAAGGTGGCAGTTGTTATTGTTGTCTGCTGTCAAGTTGAAACTGACCCATAGCTTACCCTCCAGTGGGTTTTCAGAGGCAGTAAATTGTCTGGGAGGAGATTGCCCATTCTTCTCCTGTGGAGCATCTGGTAGATTCAAACCTCGTACCTTTGGGATTGCAGTGCAGCTTCTTATCAAAGGGCCAATTAAATACAGTATATGATGCAAATTATTACTTAAAAATAGATTTTCAAGTGTTGAGCTTTATTGGATTACTTGAAAAAGAAAGTTCATTTTATTGAGTTACTTTTTTTACATAGATATACTATTTCCAGGTAATATATAATGATGCCTTGGGTCCTAGCATTCTTATATTTAGAAATAATTTAACTGTATCATGAAGAGAAAAAGTGCAGTTGAATGAAAAGGTTGAGTTATGGAAAAGTAACTAACTCTGCTACCTTAAAGTTACTTTAAGTCTTTGGTATGTTAATTAATTAATGCGATAATTTCTAAGGTCAGAAAAAGGATTCAGTCAGAAATATCATGATATAATTTGCATTCCAATTTCTGTGTGACCATAAATTGTTGGATATTGCAACATATGTAACATACACCACATGTCAGCTGTTTCCTGCCTCCCTGTTGACAAGAGCCCCATTCATAACTCTTCTTTTTATCCTTTCAGTGAATAAGTAATTATTCAATATAGAAGGCAGGATATTTGGAACTGGCTATTTAATGTGGCAGCACTCCGTAATGAAATCTGCTGTTACTGGCAACCTGAGAAGGGAATGTAACAATTCCAGCATGGCTGTAACTTTAGCTGCTTTGACTGACTGTTTATTTGGCACATCAGTGAACCTTTTATCCCAGTGAGTGACAGCTCCAGAAGGGTCACATTTACATCCATTCTATCATGTATTGTAATATTTAATGGCGGACAAGGTTGAGTGGGACTGGGAGTAATTTGAACTTGCTTTTTCACTGAGTTGAGGCTAAAAGACAGCTTGATCCCCAGTATTGTGGTGTAACATGTTATGACTTAGCATTTGTTTGTGAAGGCTAATCTTACTGATTACAATTTTTAAAAAACCCTCAAAAAACACCCAAACCTTCAGTCAAATATTTGTTCTCCTAAACTAACACAAATTCTTTGGAACCGCACTATTTAGCATTTTCCCTCTCATCAGTGAAGATTTCTATAAATTTAACTATTCTACAGTATTTGTCCTAAGTGAGCATTCTGTCTCATTTGGTGTAATTGAGGCTGAGAAGAAAAGAATTTTAAGGCTCTAAATGAAGCATTAAGCTTTTTCTTTTAAAAAAAAAATACTTGAGCATTTAAAAATGATAGAGGAAAATCAGGTAAATATTAATAATGTTTTTGATGTGCCTTATGGTGTCTTAAAGAAGATATTTGTATAGCTATTTCAATTACAAATCAGTCAAGTTGTCCTGACTGATAATTTTACTGGTGAGTTTGCATTCTATGATGTCATTGCATTTCAGATATACTTATTCCACACAAGCAAACTTTCATTATTAAATATTAATATTATATATTAATGTTCATACCTTATCTAAAGAGTGATTATTTCTTATATTTTCATGATACTTTAGGTTCAACTTGGTTTGTTTGTCACCTATATTTGAAGTGTTCTTTTTAGCATTGGTAAATTATAGAACATTTGAAAAGGCTATGTTATGAATAAAAATAACACTACCAACTGTAAACTATGTAAATTCAAATGAAACATCACCAAAACTTAAAATTAATTTCTACTTTTCTTGTAATTTTTAATAATTTATGAAAGAGGAGAATGGAAATGCATCTAAAACTGAAAAAGTAGTATGTTAGAAAACAGTGCAAATGTAGAAACATCATTTATAATAGAAAAGAACCAATTTGAAATATTTTCAAGATTTTTTTTTTAGAAAAGGCAAATTTTAGATACTGTAATATCCTGAAATTTGTCTTTGAAAATTGTGATTCTTAGAGGTTTGAGTCCATCAAAGATTTTATAACATTTTTTGTGATAATGCAGACAGTAATTTTTCTTTCATTTATCACAGCCCCCTGGGCACTGTTCTAGGTGCTCTTGTTCTACAAAACAAGGAAATGGTCAAGAGTCTTCAAATGTCACTAAGAAGGATAATGGAAGGAAATTGAAGATACCCAAAATATATTTTGGGACACGCACGCACAAGCAGATTTCTCAGATTACTAGAGAACTCCGGAGGACAGCATACGCAGGGGTCCCAATGACTATTCTTTCCAGCAGGGATCATACTTGTGTCCATCCTGAAGTAGTTGGTAACTTCAACAGAAAAGAGAAATGCATGGAATTCCTGGATGGAAGAAATGTAAGTAAATATGTTTTGGTTTAGAGAAGAATGAATAGACAATACATTCTTTATGCATATATTTTTAGCAATAATTAAAGAACTTCAGAAAGTCAAATTAATTGCTTCTGGTGAAGGTTTATGAAAAAGAATTTTATCAGAAAATATCTTTATTCAAGTTTAAAATGATGGGTTTTGGCTTTAAAGATTGGAAATATTCTTTGAAATTAATTTTTATTGTGGTCAGATGTCTTTTTTATTTTCTTTTTTAAAATCTCTCATAAAAATGGTCAAACATGGATGATGTCATATAGGGTAAAAAGTGTTTAAATAATTCAGCAAAATAATAATTTTTTTTTGTTTTTTTTATTATTTTGTGTGCATGTACCGTCAAATCAGATCTGACTGGTACAGGAGGATATTGTGCCTCCTTCTCCGGCAGAGCGTCTGGTGGATTCGAACCGTGTTCCTCTGGGATTGGGCAAAATAATAATGTTTTGCATATATAAAAAATTTATATGTGTTATTTTAGTAAATGTTGACTTTTTTAATAGACTGAAAAATACAATGATCAGTTTGTATCATCATTTTGATTAATTCCTCTTCTCTTTCAAAAAATTACATTCATTTATTACTTTGAGAATAAATGAATCCAGACCAAGTGGAAAGATGGAAGTCTTTTTTTGTTGTTGTTGTTAAAAACGTAGATGACTTTAAAACGATATTTTGGCAGTTTTATTTTAGAAGTCTATGTATCAGAATGAAAACTACTGTAAAATCTCAAGTCTGGAATTATGCCAGAAATCATCAGGGGATGAAAACTTATAGTATATGAAATGATTAATGATTTTTTAGTTGTTTTGAAAGTTACTGTCTTTTACTATTTTATTAGAGTTGTTAGTGCATAAAAGCATTTAAGTTTTAGTTCATTGATTTATTACCTCCTGACCATATAACATGGTAAATTGTTTCATATTATGGTTTTCTCTTCAGTTTTTAAAATTAGAGTATAACATAGTCAAGTTTATTTGAGAATATTCAAGAGACACTTTAATAAATATTCAAATATTATGGGAACATGAAGTGTAAGTACCAAGAGTTCCAGTGGAAAAACTTGTTCAGAGTAAGAAAGAAAATACATAATTACTGAATCAAAACCATCATTGTAGGTTCCTGATGAGATTTATTTTTTCCCCCCACAAGTTCTTTCTAACTGAAGAATTGAATTTCTTCATTCTGTATATTTGAAAAGTTCTTTTCAAAGTGACATGAAAATACTTAAAAGTAGAAAGGTTAAAAAATAATAGAAACAAATTGTTATGGTAAAACCTTGGAAATTTCAGTCATAAGTAGACATATTCCAAAAGTGTCTACCTGGTCTTAGTTCTTCAGATGCTTGTTGTTTGGCTTGTTTTGTCTGTATACAGTCTGTGCAAGAAGACTTACTGGCGTTGTCATGTGTTTGTATCTTTTGACCTCTTAGGATTGGGAAAATTATGTAATTATGTATTTGTTATCTGATAAAACCAGTTATGAAATTTGAGATTGTGTACCCAGAGCGACTTGTCTTATTTTATGTAGTCTTCTAGGATCCTGTAGAGTTGGTTGTTTTTTTGTTGATTTTTATTTTCAAGCTTGAGTCATTTAGGAATAAAAAGCAATTTTATAGAATGAAAAGTTTGGAATTTTTTTTAGATTTGCTTTAAAGTAATCAAGGGTTTAATTTTCAGTATTAGTAATATGAATAACTGAGGATAGATATCTCCTTGTAGTTGTTTGCTGCCACCTAATTGCTACCTCCAAATGCTTACTCATGGGCATGCATGAGCATTCCTTTTCTTATTCCCAAGCTTTTAGGGTAATTTGGTATTGTAATGAGGGCCAATTACAAAGTCACCATAGGTGTCTGTGTTTACTATGGCCGAATTACCAAAGTGGAATGATAAATAGATAGCTGACAGTTTGAGTGAAAAGAGTTTAAAGTGTGATAAAGCTTCAATTGGCAGACTCCCCTCAGGGTTGTGTTACACTACTAAAATGGATGAGTTTTTCTGGTTTTGCTATCAGCCTGCACTGGGGTGTCATTCTAAGTGCCCTTAAAGTGTAAACTTTCTGATTTTTTGGCTTGATCTAAAGGCACATGTGTTTTTGTTCACTGTTTCCTTTACTTAAATGCCTGTATACTGGAAAAGTAATGCACTTCTCTAATTTTTATTTCTATTAAAAAATATATAACTAGAACCCAAAATTCATATTTGAATAAATAACAGTCATATGAGTCATAATTCAAAAGGTACAAAGTTGTCTATAGAGAAAATTTCTCTCACTGCTCTCCTCAAGTCACTTTAGATCTCTTCTTTGAAAACAACTAGTGATACCATTATACTTGTGGATTTTTTTCAGAGATCTTGTATACCTAATATCCCTTTAATCAGACTAGAGCCATAATCAAACATGTTGGGAAAGTATTTTTCTCAAAGCACTGCTGACCTAGAGTTCTGAGTCAACTGTGACAGTTTCTTTAACATTGTGATTGAACATCTAACATTTTTGCTTGTGGCTTTACTGATGTTCCTAACAATACGAAATAAGCTTGTTCTATTACTTTTATTCTATTAACTAATTTACAATTAAGTTGTAAATTTTTGTCTTTTAGGGAAAATCTTGCTATTTTTACCATGGTGTTCATAAAATTAGTCATCAGCACACACTGCAGGCTCTCCAAGGGATGCATGAAGCCTGGGATATAGAAGAACTTGTCAGCCTGGGGAAGAAATTAAAGGCATGTCCATATTATACAGCACGAGAACTAATGGAAGATTCTGACATAGTGTTTTGTCCCTACAACTATCTTTTGGATTCACAAATAAGGGAAAGTGTAAGTATACATGTAAAATTTAGATAACCTTCTCCTACTAATTGAGATATAAGTGATGAATGTAAAAGCTTTAAGATGTTTTTATGTATTTTAATTTATTCTTGCTTTATGTTTAATTTTGGTAAATGTGTAGTTAGATTGAATAACTGATAATATATTTAAGGTCCAAAACTAGATTCTTATGGTGGATTATCTTGTGTACTGTAGACTGTTTAGCAACATCCCTGCCTCTATACACACTACTAACTAGTTATTGTTGAGGACCATTGAGTCGGAATCGTAGCTAACCCTCCAGGAGGTTTTCAGGAAGTCACATGGGAGGGGATTGCCCATATTTCTTCTGCAAAGCAGCTGGTAGATTCAAACTTTATCTTTGGGACTGCAATAAAGCATCTTACCTCTAGGCTACCAGAGCTCTTTGCTAGTTGTGTTGTTGTGTACCGTCAAATTGGAACTGACCCATAGCAGGCCCTCCAGCAGGTTTTCAGAGACAGCAAATCTCATGGGGGGAGATTGCCCATCCTTCTTCCACAGAGCAGCTGGTGGATTCAAACCCCTTGCATTTGGGATTGGAGTGCAGTTTCTTAATACTAGGCCACCAAGTACGAGTATACCCTTATAATTGTGACTTAAAAAAAAATTTCCAGACATTGCCAGATGTCCCCAGGCAGGTTAGGCAAAAGTCATCCCAGTTGAGACACTATAGACTACAGCTATTTGTGGTAAGGGTTGCACTGCCAACCCAGGGCAGGCAATTCAAAACCATCAGCTACTCCATGGAAGAGGGACAGGGGCAGTCTTCTCCCATATGATTTACAGCCTCTGAAAACCCACTCTAGGGTCAGCTGTGAGTTAGTTCTCACTTGACAGCATTTAACAATAACAATATTTATGAATAGTAAGTAGAACTGTTATCAGAAGATACTATGTGTTGAAGAACTTGTACTGGGAGGATATGCAATCATATGTGAATTATGCTCTGTGGGCTTAGTAGAATTTTTACATAACATTTGTTTGTCTGGTTTATCTTGTTGTTGTTATTAAGTGTTGTAGAATCAAGTACAACTGATAGTGACCCCATTAACACCGAATCAAAACTATGCCCCATCTGGCACCAGCCTCACGTTCTCAGGAATATTCAAGCCCATTTTTGGTTAGATGCCACGAAGTAGGTGGCAATGCCTTAACCGTATGCGTGTTGTAAAGGCCCAAGGGCCTCTTCCATCCTTGTCAAGGGGAGTGCTAACCTTCTCTCCTTTCATACAACACGAAAATATGGAACGCTTCACGAATTTGCGTGTCATCCTTGTGCAGGGGCCATGCTAATCTTCTCTGTATCGTTCCAATTTTAGTATATGTGCTGCCGAAGCGAGCACTCAAGCCCATTTTTGTAGTCACTGTGTTAATCCATCTAGTTGAAGATCTTCCTTTCTTCCATTGAAAGAGCATTATGCCCTTTTCCAAAGTTTATTTTAAAGTTATGTATTCGTTACAGTGTAAGACAAAAAGTGAGAAACTTGGTATATTCAATTGTTAATCCTATTTTTACTGACTCCACAACTTTCATTAGCTTTGTGATTTTTTTTTTAAGGTCAAGATGAATAGAAATTATGTTTATTACTTTAAAGCATTGGCGATTCATTGGTAGACTTTTTACAGGTTTACAAACGGGAGATCTGGGTTTAATTCTCCACTAATGTGCCTCAGCAGAGCCACCACTCATGTGCCATTGGAGGTTTCCCTCCATTGGAGGTTGCACTGATACCAAACAGGCTTCAGAGATACTTCCAGGCTGATATATTAAGAAAGGCCTGGTGTCTGTTTCTGTGGAGAAACGTGTGTGTTGTGTATGGGATTGCCATGAGTTAAGGACCAACTTCATGGTATTTAACAATGAGAGCAACACGATTTATTAGTTTACCATCCTGCCTTATATTGGTTGCCTCTTTACTAGGTTTACCCCCTCTGACTTTTTGTACAAAGCAATGCAGGAATAGTCTTCCTAATACAACTTTTATTGTACCTTTATTCTGCTTAACGTTTCCAATTACTCACTTTGCTCATAAAGTACATGTCTTAAGTTTACCTACATTCAAAGGGTATATAATAGATTGATCTTTATCTGCCTTTTAGACCTTCTCTGCTACCAACTTAATTTAAACCCTTCAAAAATTCCTCTGTAATCTTTTGAAGATTGTTCAGTGGCATTACTTGGGTTTTTATCAGGAGGTGCTGTAGCTCACCACCTCCCTACCACCTCCTCATCCACCGCTACCCTCTGCTCCCGTGGGTGGAGGAACTTGGCCCCACCTCAGCCTCTTAGAGTCCAACCCCACTCCTTCCCGGCCCTGCCCCTTTGGCTCTCTGTGGCTCCTCTCCTCTCCCATTGGCTAAGGTGGGTGCATGAGTTCTTGCACTGGATGATGGGATGAGGGTGTGTGTGACAGTGTTAATAATGAGCATGAGGTGATGGCTGACACCAGCTCTGGTGATCCCACTGCTTCGGAGGCCCCTACCTGCAGGGCTGACCTGATTTCTACCAGCGCCATGAATGCTGAGGCTGTTTTGGTGTCACCTTTCCTTGATTATCACGGGGAGGAGGGTACATTCCACACCCCCATAATGTTGCCACGGTGTTTTTGACCTGCCTTGCCCTCTCTTTGTATATCCATATTCTACTTATCTTTTAAACTGTACTATATTTTCTATTTTTCCATGGTTCTTTTTAGTCATCTTCAACCCTCTGTATAGAACTGTTTCTTCAAAGTAATTAATTCGCATTTGCTCTGTGACATATCCTTGTCATATTAGTCCAGGTTCCATCAATTCCAAGTGAAAAAAGCTCCACTTAAAAAGAATTTAAGAAAAGACACTTGACTCTACCTTCTTTGTGATGGTTTTGTTCTTAGGCAAGCTCTTTCTCTGTGAGGATAAAGATAACCTTGGAATTACTTTTATTCTCATAGTTAGCTAACCTGGAGAAAAGAACATGATCTTATATTCTTGTTGTTAGTTGCCATTGAGATGATTTCAACTCAAAGTGACCCACGACATTACTCTGATTGCCTTAGCTTGGGCAATTTCCTAAACTGGTCCCTGCAGAAAGATGAACTACTTTATTTAACTACATTTAGGTTATACATCTACTTCTCATGTGAGAGTAGTGATGTCCCTTAATTAGCTAACAGCCCTAACTACATTTAAATGGGACTTGGAAACAAACAATTCTTGAAAAGAAGTGAAAGGGCAGACTGAAATGAAACGGATATACTTCATCATGTTAGTATTTTGAGAGTCATTTGAATCTTGAGCTTGTAATTTTAGTTGTAAAGGTTTTATATTATGTTTTAAAAATCATGTGAGAGATTTTGTTGTAGTGTGGTTTTATGCCTCTGTGTAATGTTTGGTCACTACAGATGGTTCATGTACACAGTTTCTAACTGAAAGTTTTGAAGGTTGAGTCTATCAAGGGACTTCTTGAAGAAACACCTGGTGAATTACTTCCTAAAAATCAGCCATTGAAAACTCTCTGAAGCACAGTTATATACTATTATTACATATGGAGTTGCTGTAAGTCAGTTTCAACTTGAGTGCAATTGAGCAATTATTTAGCCAGTGGTCCCTCAATCCAGGCTCACTTAACATAGTTTTTGGTTTGCAAAATATTTTGAGAATTAAAAATGGGGAATGCTAATGTTGAATGGACAGTAATTGGTTGACGTTAGTGCCTCAGAAGATTTATTTAAGATCTAAAATCAGTCAGTTGTTGAGTGACACATTACTGACTTATAAGTAAATTTTAAAATGAAATATCTTTTCTGCTGCTGCTTATAAATTAGGTAGTCCTCTTGACTGAATGTTCTACAGAAAAATTATTTTATTTTACAGATGGACATCAATCTGAAAGACCAGGTTGTCATTTTAGATGAAGCTCATAATATTGAGGACTGTGCTCGGGAGTCAGCAAGTTACAGTGTAACAGAAGTTCAACTTTGGTTTGCTCGAGATGAGCTAGACATTATGGTAAATAATAATATAAGGAAGAAAGATCATGATCCCCTCCGAGCTGTGTGTTACAGTCTCATTAAGTAAGAACATTTGTCTGTTAGTATCATTTGTGCTGCCTTTGCATTAAAAATATGTTTTATTACTTAAGAATATTTTTAGTTGATAAATGTTGATTAACGAGGCTACTGGGGGAATAAGTTGTTTCTTGAAAGTTTAACTTAAAAAGGTCTAATCCAACTTTTATTCATAAAAATAAAATGAATTTAATTAACTCCTAATTGATAATTGTGACCCTTAGTTCTAAATTAATAGCTCCATAAGACATGTTTACAAAGTAGTGTGGTTTTGCTTAACTTATTTTAGAAGTCTAGATTATTGCTTTGTTCTTCAGTTGTGTAATATTCTGACTGGTGAATTTTATTTTAATCAAGATTTCAATAACATGAAATAATGAATTTAATGCTAAGTTTATTAAAAGTTAAATAATTTCCATTTTTTAGACATTAGGTTGTGGATCTAGATACTCTATCTTAGGAAAAGATCTCCCACACCCAATTTACCACAGCATTTATATATATTTGTATATATATGTTCTATATGTTTAAAAAAAATAGAAGAAAAAAAAATTTGAATGTTGGATAATCACATGGTTTGAACATAAACTATACATACTAATGCAATAAAAATCTTCCTATCCATTTCCATCTCTTAAGCTCCTGTCCCTATAAACAAATACATAATGTAGTGCATATTAATGTATGTATTGTATATGTATACATATTTTATATATGTGTATGTATATATATCTTTCTCCCCTTCTTTGTTTATCCAAATGATGACATACTATATATATTTTCTTCTTGTCTCATACTTTTCAACACTGAAAAAATATATCTTGGCGATCTTTCCATTTCAAGTCCTGGAATATTTTAACAGTCTGAAAAGAAAACTAAAAATAATTGTTTAGAATTTCACTGTGTGTGTATATAATATGCTTAGCTAGCTTCTATTTAATATATATTAAGATTATTTTCAATATTTTTGACTCTATTACTGTGGGAATAATTTTGAGCATGCACCATTTCATATATAACCATGTACATCTATAGAAAAGTTCCTAGAACTGGAATTGTTGAGATGAGGCAGAATGCATTTCTAATTTTAAGAGATACTGCTAAAATTTACACCACAATAGGTGAGGACTGATTTATACTCTTACAAATAATGTACGAGAGGTGTTGTTTGTTTGGTTTTTTTTCTTACTCGTGTGCTAGGGGAAAAGTGGTATCCCAGTATAGTGTTGAGTTCTTTTAATATGAGTGAAATAAAGAGCCGTTTAGATTTACTTCTCTGTCAATTTGTGGCGTGTCTGCCTTCTTTTGTATTTTGTTGTTTTGGATCTTTTTGAATTTGATTTTAGAAACTCATATTCCAGCAAAATTAACCCTTTGCTTGTATTAAGAATTTCAAATACTTTCCTCTTCATTTTCCCATCTAGTGTGTGTCTATGATTTTTGGCCAAAAGTTGTCTATAATTGCTAGATCTGTTTCTCACTTTACATTCTTCCTCTTTCTCCTAGTAATGCTATCATTTGTGTGATTCTTTCTTGTCATGGCCACCAGTTGTAAAGTGAGCAAGGAGAACATGGGAAGTCAGAGTCCAGCCTCTGTTAACTCCACAAAGGGGAACTGTTTTCATTAACAACATTCAGTAGAACCAATCGCTTGGTCACACATGGTCCCCTAGGTTGCTATACTGGGTCTGAAATTCATTGCAAATGACCACACAGACTTGAGAGAATCTCTTTTTACTCATAGTTGTGGGGTTTGTTAGGGAAATAGATTGCAGGGGGAAGGCTAAATATATCACAGAGTCAAAGCACAAGTTCAGTAACAGCAGTCCCAAACCAGTTTAACAAGCAAGACACAATGCCTCTGTTCAGATAGTTGCTCAGTCAACAGCAAGATATAGACCCTCAGTTAATCCAGGCAGCTTCTCAGCCAATAGCAAGATATTTCTGGTGAAGTAATCTCTTGCACTGGCTCCATCTAGCTCTTTCAGACTATACTTCACCAGTTTATCCCAGTTGAGTTAGATCTCTTTCTTATGTTGGCCTCATAGCTGTTGATGATGTTGAAGACACTGATGAACAACCACATCTCTGCAGTTTAGGTATCTGGAGACCACACCTCTTGGGGTGTGGGGGTGGTGGTGGTGGTGGTAAAGCAATGGATAGAAAAGCCATCCTCAGAAAGTCCTGATACCACACAAGTGAGCTATAGATGGTCAGATCCAAAGCTTCCCCCCACCCCTTCCCAGAGGTAATATTTTCTCATTTTATTTGAGTAAAAGTTTACAAATCATATTGCATTTTCATCGCATCAGATACTTTGTTTTAGAACATTACAATTAATGAGTTACAATCTCATCAAAACCCTTTCCCTTCACCCAACTTGAATATTGCTTTTTCCTCCAGTTCTCCCTTCCTAATTCCTGTTAACCCTCCCAAGATTGATTTAAGGTAAACCTTTCCTTAACTTTTTATATTAGTGGACTCATACCATAATTGGCCTATTGTAAGTGGTTTATATCACTTAGCATAGTTTATTCCTCAAAGCTTATTTTTTATGTGCCTTCCCCATTTGGCATCTCAGAATTGTTAATTCTTAGCAGTGTAATCTCCTTGAAAATTATTTTTGCCTGGACTGCCAGAGCATCTTTAGATTTTCTTCTTCTTTTATAGACTGCTCTTTCTCAGTTTCCTTTGATAATTTTTCATTTCTGTTTGTTTTCTGTATGTTGGAATGTGGTAAAGCTTGGTTTGGTATCTCTTTTTTTTCTAGTTCTGTGCTTTCCCTAAATTGCGTATAACTGTTTCACAGTCTAATCCAAAATTTTTTGTTAGGTGCCATCAAGCCAACTACAACTCAAAGAGACTCTGAACAACAGGTCAAACCCTTACCGAATCCTGTGCATCCTCCCAATTTCTGCTATGCTCAAGCCATTTTTATACTTTATCTCTCTTATGTCCTTGAGAATCTTCCTCTCTTTTACTGACCTACTTTTACAAGCATAATGCCTTTTCCCCCGAAAAAATTGACAACTCCTGAAATATTCCCAGAGTCTGAGACATTTTCACCAACTTTCCCTCTAAGGAGCATCTTGGCTGTACTTCCTCCAAGACAAATTTGTTTTTTCTCTTTTGCAGCCTGTAGTATATTCAATACCCTTCATCAGTATCATAATTTAAAGGCATCATTTATTTGGTCTTCCTTAAATCGTTGTCCAACTTTCACACACAACTGAAAATACCATGACTTGGGTCAGACATCCCTTGGGTCTGTAAATTAACATCCTTGCTATTTAGAACTTTAAAGAGGTCTGTGACAAACGATTTTCCCCAGTGCAACATGTCTTTTGATTTCTTGACTGCTGCTACTGTGGATGGTGAAACTGACGACTTTAATCGATCCTTTCTCCTTGTATCATAATGTTGTTTATTGGTCCAGTGGTGAGGATTTTTGTTTTCTTGATGTTGAGATATAAAACAGATTGAAGGCTATCGTGTGATTTTTCTTCATTAAGTGCTTCAGATCTTCACTTTGGGTAAACGAGGTTATGTCATCTGCATAGTGTAGGTTGTTAATGCAGGTCCTTCCAACCCTAATGCCACATTCTTCTTTGTACAGTCCAGCTTCTTGATTCAGTGTACAGATTGAATAGGTTTGCAGAAAGGATATAAGTATGATGCACAGCTTTCCTGATTTTAATGTATATAGTATCTCCTTGTTCTGTTCTAATGACTGCTTCTTGGTCTGTACCAAGTGTTTAAAATCCTCCTCACTTTCACTTTCAGCAAGCAAGGTTGTGTGATCTGTTTAACACAGGAGTCTCCCTCTGTCTCTACATATGTGTTTGGAAGTTCCCTTTCCTCACAATGTTGTTGTTAGGTGCCATTGAGTCAAGTACGACCCATAACGACCCTATGAATAGATCTGAACCCTGTCCTATCCTATGCCATCCTCATACTTACTGACACACTAGCGCCCATTGCAGCAGTCACTGTGTCAGTATACCTGGTTGAGAATCTTCCTCTCCTTTGCCAACCTTCTACCTTTCCCAGCATCATGTCCTTCTCCAAGGAATAACATAGCCCCTCCTAGCAATATGCCTGAAGTATGTGAGACAAAGCTTTATCATCTTTGCCTCTAAAGAACACTCTGGCTGTATTTTCTCTAAGACTTTTGTTTGATTAAGTCAGTTGTGGGCTGTTTGGTCTTTTTTATTTAATTAACAATTAGTTGTTGGCTATTTGGTCTTTTTTATTTAGTTAACAGTCAGCTGAGGTCTGGGAGCCTCTTTTTTTAAACGAATTAGGACCCAGTGAGTGGGCCTTTGTGATTAAAAGTTGATTGGCCAGAGAGTGTGAAGACTAATTTTCTATTAGAGGTACAAACTAAATTGCCAGTTTGTTGTATTTGGAATTGGTACAGCACTTGTCTGTCGGTTTGCTCTACTGAGATAACTTGTGGGTTGCTGTGATACTGAAAGCTATGCCACTAGTGTGTCAAATGCTACAAAGGTTACCCATGGTGGACAGCTTTTAGTAGAGCTCCCAGATTAAGATAGACTAGGAAGCAAGATTGGCCATCCACTTCTAGAATAACAGGCCTCTGAAAACCCTATGAACAGTAGAGGAACATAGATAGTTACAGTTTAATGTTGTTGTTGTTGTTGTTATGTGCTGTCGAGTCACCTGCGACTCATAGCGACCCTATGTACAACAGCCCTAAACTCCGCTCTGTCCTGTGCCAATCGCAC